TTTGGCATTAATTGTTTTGTTGATGTTAAGTGAAGATGATTTTTTCAAAAAAGTCATTCATGAGATGGTTAAATTATTTATTTTTAATTTAAATTTAATTGTGTTTAGACGCTAAAAAATGTTGATTGGTACCAGGCAGACAGAGCCCCGATTGCTGAAATTACTCTTGGTGGACTAATAATTTTGGTGTTTACAAAAACTATCCAAATTAACACTATTCGATTGCGGGTTTGTTTTTGGACTTTTAAATCCTCGACAATTAACTAATTTCCTTCCCATTCATTCAGGATCGTTATTTCCACGTCAATTCTCTTGCAACACTTGCTAATCTATCTTCATGTTTCAAACAACTTACTCCATTTGTTTGCCAAAAATTGATAGGATTATTAGAGGTTTATTTTCTTAAATTTGAGTATCTTTAAGAAAAATTTAATTAAAGACAATGACTAAAAGGCATGCAAAATTAATTCGTGCAATGCGCGAAAATGCAGAACGTGACCCCGTTCGTAAGGTTTCCAAGAATGATGATGATTTGGATTTGGAAGAATTGCAGGATGGCAATGATGATTTGGTATAAATTTTTTGTTTCAAAGTTTGGTAGTTATATGACGCTATTTTAAGCAAAATAAAAGTTCTATTTTTTATTTTCTAGCATAGCGATATTACAGCACTCGAAGAAGGCATTCGAACTCTTCTAGAAATTATCAACGCCTGTCTTTGCCGTAATTTACGGAACAATCCAAATTTAATTTATACTGTTCTCTACAAGAGAGAATTATTTGAACATTATCATCAACACCCAATGTTTCAAGATCTTGTGTGGAATATTTATGCGGTATTTGATTTTTGGTATTTTTGAATTAAAATCCCCGCTCCTATAACTCACTCAAAATTTAATTTTTATTTTTGACTCATATGGATGGGAGTCATAATAAACTTTAAACTTATTTTTTGATTATTTGAAGAAAAAATTCTCAAATAATTTTAGGTTATAAATCATTTCACTGCTCGTGTTGAGGCAATAATAAGTGCAAATTCTGGTAGCGGATCACCCACCTTTGGTGGAGGAAATGCAGCATCTGCCAATGCAATTGCAAATAATGCTTCTGTTTCTGATATTTTAGAGGCTATTAAAAAGACTGCGATTGAATGGCCAACTGATCGTTTGAAAAAATTTCCTGACTTGCGTTTTAAATATATTGAGGTGGAAATAATTTTATTTTAATTATTTCTGAAGTGTAAGATTAAAATTCTTAATTGAATTTCCTTTTTTCTTGTTGTCTTTTTTACGGAGATTTTTGACTTTTTTTACTTAAACTCTTTTATTTTGAAATAATTTTTTGAAATTTTTTCAGGATGATAATACTGTCGATTTTTTTGTTCCCTACATTTGGCGTTTAATATATGAGAGTGCTGGAATTTACTTTGATCCAGTTGCTATTCAATTGTTTAAAGCAATTGATTAAATTTTTTGACTCTTGAGAAGGTAATTAAAGAAGAAATAAATTGCTTCAATTCAGCAGGTTTCGTGCAATAAATTTTTTAGAAATATTTTAAAGTGATGCCAAAACAAAAATTAAAGCAATTTTTAAATAGATCACTTATATATTTTATGTTTATTATTATTTTCATAATATATTTTTAAAAATATTTTTGGATGGTGACTTTATTTTATTTTTTATTTCTGAAAGGAAGAGACTCGCATAGGGGTTCTTTAACTGTTTTATTGTTAAAAAAATTTTTTAAAACAATTCATTTTTATAAGCAATTTGCTTTTATCTAATTTCCTGAGATACTTAATTTCTTATAATCTGCAAAACTTTGTCCTTCCTACCTTTTTTCTTAAATTTATTAAATAATAAATTTTGCGAGTCACTTATTTTCCTACATAAAAATATTTTTTCTGCCCTTATATCTTTAATCAAAAAAATTATTTTTAAAATAAAAATAATTTTAAAAATAAATATTTTCCGTTTAATGTGATATATTTACATAAATATATGCTTAATATTCATTTAAATATTTTTACTTATTATTGCTCCGCTTATTTAAATAGTCTTTTAATTAATTAATCTATTCAACATGTTTTAATTTAAAATAAATTGGATAAATTTGGAAATAATTTTTGTTGACTTTTTTAAAGTTTTTAATTCTTGGAGAGATTTTTATCTTTATTTGTTTTTATTTTTAAATAAATATTTTTACAGTTTTGACATTTTCTCTATTTAAAAATGAATGTGCGTGATCGTTTAAATGAACTTACAATTAGTCTGGTGAGTGAAAAATTTTAAATACTTTTTTTTATTTGGGGGAATGGTTTTTTGTTTAGTTGAATGATAATTTAGTCTAATTCAAAAAGTACCTTTTACACAAAATCCGTACTAATGTTCTTTCCTACCCCGGAAACCCTCAGAATAATTGTTGAAAAATAATAATTAAAAGTTAAATCTTAGAAAAAATTTTTTCATCTTTATTCAAAGACTAATAATTGATTCCTCTAAATATTTATTAATCTTTACCAAAAATCTATTTATTTGGGTCAATGTTTTTTGCATACCTTTATTGAGAGATTTCTTAAGATCGTTTATTTAATGTAAAAATTTTTTTGTCGATTTATAATAGTTAAAAAATAAAAAATATATTTTCTGGGATAGGACTTAATATTAAAATTTTGTATTTTGAAGGTCAACGATTTAATTTTTAAAATTATTTTTTTTTATTTTTTAGCCTTTTCTATCATGTTCTCGCATTATTTCTCTCTTATTTTAAACGAATTAAACAGAAATTGTTGGTTATTAATACCTTTGTCATATATTATTTATCGTTTGACGAGAACTTTTTTGGCACTTTTAGAGGTGTTTTTTAATTGAAAGTTTTTAAATCTTTTATGATTTTAAAGGCATTTTTAATTTATTTTGTTGCTCCTCTTTTTTATACTCCAGATTTGGATATTTATGTTGATCGATGGACAGGTGTTTATTTAAATAATTTCTTTAACACAAATCTAATATATGTATGTGTAAATAAATATCTATATATCAGGGCTCCGATCTTGAATTTTTAAAAATCAGTAATTGGGCTATAAAAGAGCTTTTTAAGAATCCTCATACTCTTCAAAAGACCACAAAATGAGGCTGAATCTGTACATATCGGGAACCTGCTATTTATTTATCCATTTTTATTATCCATATTACCCTTTTAAGCTGTAAGTGGTGGTACTGATGGTATTGGAAAGGCATACATTTTCGAATTGGCTAAACTTGGACTTCGAAAATTTATTTTGATTGGAAGGAGTGAAATTAAATTAAATACTGTCAAAGAAGAGATTGGTGAATAAATATTGTTTTATTTATTCCAAAATTTTGATTTTTAGAATCCCAATATAAAAATTCTTGCGTTGAGACAATCCTTTTTGATTTCAATAACGCTATTTACCCGGAATATGCTGACAAATTGAGGCATCAACTCTCTCAATTTAACATTGGATTTGCTTGTTAGAATTTAAAAATATATATCTTCTCTCAGATAAGTATTGGGAGGAAAAATTTTCAGAAATAAGATTTTCATGTCTTCCCTATATACCGACTTCGGATGGGCACTAGAGAGGGGCTGAATCCTTCCACCTGGAAAGGGGAAAATGAAAAATTTTGGAAAAAAATGAAAAAAATTACTAATTTCCATTAAAAATTTTAGTAAACAGTGTTGGCGTTGGAAGGGAATTTCTTGAGCGTTTTGGAGATAGGCCAGAAGCTGATCGTCAGCTTTTTCGAGTTAATGCTTTTGGGGCTGTTGAGGTGAGGGGAATTTTTAAAAATGAATTTTAATTTTTTATTAAGTTTATTTCTGCCGTTTTGCCTTCAATGGAACGTTTTGGAGGTGGTCAAATTGTTGTTCTTTCTTCAAGTCAAGGGTTTAGGCCAATTCCGTTACTTGCTGCATATTCGGCGACTAAAGTAAAATTAATAAATATTTTTTAATTGAAAGGGGAATTCCTTAATTTAAATTCCAAAAAATTTAGCTTTGTCCACATTTGTTTTAGATTTTTGTTGCTACATAATCTCTTTATCATATGCTAATTTAAATCATTTTATTTTTTAAATAATTTTTCAGAACATCTCCCTTTATTTTTTTTATAATTATTTTTATTAAATTCAAAGATTAATTTAATTTTTAGTCATTCGTTTCTTTCATTTCCGAAGCTGTTGATCGAGAATATCCAACAATTTCTGTTCAATGTTTAACTCCAGCACTTGTAGCTACCAATATGACATATTATAAAGTAAATATTTGTTTTTTCTAATTAAAAATATTTTTTAATTTAAAGAAGGGCTCTTTATTTGTTGTTACACCAGAAAAATTTGCAAAACAAGCAATTGGAACTTTAGGTTTGGTAAAAATGACTAGTGGATGTTTTAACCACGAAATTCAGGTTTTGAAAAAAAGTTGAAAGGAAAAAATATTTTTTTAATTAAAGCTATTGATTCGTCATTTATTCCCTTGGAGTTTGTTAAAATATTTGGTTATGCCTATTTATTGGCATCATCGAAGAAGAATGATTAAATTACATGGAAATGTAAGAAATTTTAATTTACACCCCTAATATTTAAGCTGAAAAATAAATAAAATCGACAATTTTTTAAATTTTTAGATAAATTCAAGCAATTCATCTAAAACAAAATTTAATTCAAATACTTCACAAAGGTATTTATTTAATGACAAAATAATTCTTTTAAACAATTTTTACAAGAATTTCGAAAATTCCAACTCCAACAACCACAAATATTGGAGAAGTAACTGTTAGAAATAGAGCTTGAAGGAAAATTAAATTTAAAAAAAAATTATTTAAAAATTAATAATTTATAAGAATTTCTTTTTATTTATTTTTAAATTTAATTCTTAATTGTCTTTTATTTTTTCAAATTTTTGTTTCAAAAATCAAAAATTTTCTTTAAAAAATTTTAAATTATTTTTTAATTTAAAAATCAGAAATTTAAAAAGAAATGGATGCTTTAGTTGCTTATGGATCTGACAGTGAAAACAGTGATTATGGAGGGGATGAATTGAGAGAGAGAAGAAGATCTAAAAGTGGAGGAAGGGATAATAATGAAGTTAAACAAAAAGAAATTGATACAAGGATGGATGATATCGATGATGATGGAAGTAAAGCACCTCGACAACATGCTGCAGCTGATATAGGTAGTTGATAAATGATTTTAAAAATATTTATTGATTTTGTTTGAAATTAAAAGTGTTTAAGGAGATTAAATTCTAAAGAGGGATGGGCAGGAATAAATAAATTGGCAATATTAACCACTAACATTAAACAAGATTGGAGGGTATCTGTGTTATTTAGAAGAATATTTATTCCTTTGATAAGCCTAATTTTTTCTAAATCCAACGGGAAATTGTGAATGTCGAAACTTTTTGACCAAAAAATTATTTTTTTTATTAAGAATTGAAATGATTAAATTTTGTTTTCTCAACATTCAATAAATAATTAAATTTTATTTTTGAAGATAGTAGTGATACAGAATTTGACGGCCCTGCAAGAGAGGATGGGGAAGATTCTGAAGATGAAAATGAAGATATTATGGAACAGGAAGATGAGGGAAATGAAACAGAAGAATTTGTGTTAAGTGGAATTCCAAAACATTTACTTTCGGCAGACCCCCAAACTTCAATAGCTGGGGCCTCAACACCGGGAGGGGCTGCTGGTTATACCCCACGTGCACTCCCACCTGAAGAAGAAGCTGCTTTGTTGGCAGCTGATGAAAAGCAATTTACAGATCAACAACAGGCAGCAATTGGTGTTCAAGTACCTCCATCACCCCCTGGGGGATGTTCGCCTACTTTAATGGTTCGGTGACATTTTGAATTACTTTTGATATTTGATTTTAAAAAAAATTTCAGAGAAAATTTGCCGGTTTTTTTGAAAGAAAAGAGCATGGATTAAATATGAATGCAATGATTAAAGGCCGTCGGGATTTTAATAATCCTTCACTTTATGAAACTTTGGTAGATACTTTTGGTATTGACGAGAAAGGAACTAATTTTTCATCTGAAGTGTTTGACCCTAGAGCTTTTCGGCCAGAAGATTTTTATATAGCTTTGGGTAGGTTTTTGATAAAATAAATATGGGAAGTAGCTTTAGGTGTTGATAAGAAAATACTTAAAAAATTATCGTAGAAACTAAATACAATAGATTTCTATTAAATTAAAGGTGATCACCAAACAACGCAAGAATTAAAACGTAAACGTCACCAAAAAAAGGAATGAAACAAAAATAAATAAATAAATGAATAGTTTTTATTTCTGATTAAATATTTTTTTAATAAATTTGTTTGTCTTATGAAAAATCTTGGTTGTTTTAAGTTGAATTTTAGGGTCCATAGCTTTGTTTGCCTTCTAAAAGTGTTTTTTTTGTTATTTTAAGGAGTTTATTTCTCGGGAGATGCTTCTTTCATATTTCCTGTTTTTACTTAAACAGGTATCCTAAGGTGGAGGCAATCAGTTATTGTTTATATCCCCTTAAGTGTATTGATATATTAACTACTAGAATATCCCTATCCCCCACACAGTTTTTCTAAAAAATTTCCCCAATTTTCCCCAAATCTTCCCAAATATTTTTTTCTCCCTCAAATAATTATTTTTACCTTTCTCTCCCTCCCTTTTAAAAATCTATTAGCAATAAAGGCCAATATATTTTTTTCTCGAGAGTGACATTTATTTACTTAACGCACGCGCAACAGATCCATATATACATTTACAGATTCTCAAAAATACAAAAAATATTTATTTATGTTTAACTATCCTTATTTTTTAAAGTTTTTTTGTTTTCATTTCCTAATATTTTGTTGCTATTATTCATAAACCTAATAAAATAATTATCCAAATTTTTTAATTAATTTGTGTTCTCATTACTTTTTCCCTACTAAGAATGTTAAATGGTTTTATTTTTGAATTCTAAATTTTATCCAAATTATTTATGTCTTTAATTTTAATATCCATTATAATAAGAGTTCTCAATAAGAGAGAATATTTACCTACATATTTTTTGTATTACCTACCTCTTTATTTTTTTAATTTTCCTAAAAAACATTTTTTCACAGAAACACCAATTTTTAAGAAATTTTTTTCGAAAATAACTTTTTCTCAATTTTTTCCCAATTCTCCCCCCAAAAAATTTTTTAGCCGTCGACGATCTTCTCCATTGGCTCAAGTAACGCACTCCTTCCTCTCTCCTTTCTCTCTCATTACTTTTTTCCTTTTTTTAAATAAAGCCACTGAGCAAATATTAGAAAATATAAAGGTATATACTTCTTCTAGTCGGCTCAGCTTTCCTTTCAAAAAAATTTTTTTCGGGACTGAATTATTTGGAAGGGGGGGGGGGTGGATATTTTTGTTGGTAGTTGTTGGGAGGAGGAGGGGAGGGTTTTGAAGGAAAAGACTTTTGAATAAATGGAAAAAGAATAACAGGAGCACTGGCCCTCCAAACAAAACAAAACTCGAGAAGGTGCGCGCCGTTTGTATGAGAGAATGGGAAAGGGGAGGGAGGGGAAGGGGTGAAATTTTAAGAAAGCGAGAGAGGATTTTTTGGGTATATGTTGACTTAAAAAATAAAGACAAAACAGCTAAAAACCTAAAAAAACAAGAACATTCTCTGAAAAAGGCCGTTAATGACAACATTGTTAATCAACAAAATAATAAACTCGAATCACTAAAATGTCGATAAAAATTTAAACAAAAAACTAGAAATCCAAACATTAATTTCCATAAAACGCGTACTTTTTACCCAAAAGATCAAAACTCTCCCACTCATTTTAGGCAAACTTACCTGGAAATTCTCGCAACTCAAACACAGAAGAATAAGCTTTAAATTCTCTCATCTCTTCTTTTAACCACGCCCTTCCACTTTTTATTAATTTTTATAAATTTTTGTAAACGGAATTTGTCCGTGAATTTTTTTTTATGAACTGGCAATTTTATAATAATTTATTTTAAATTTAAAAAAACCGTTTATTCGCGTTAATTTATTTTTCTATTATGATAAATTTAAAAAAATTAGAAATTTTTTTTCTAGAGCCAAAAAATTTGCTACGTCAAATAATCTGGAATTGTCTATTTCAGTTTCCCCTCATTAAACCTAAACCTTTTGGATTCAAGTTTTTAATTAAAACCTAAATTCAAACAGACGTCGATTATTTGGCGCTAATATTTTCGTTAGTAAAAACTTTTTCTTTGTTAAGATTTATCTTTTTAAAAATAATTTAAATAATAGTTAGCCTTCGAAAGATGTAAGATTTATTGATAAAGTTTGTTAATTTTAAATGCTATGGCTAAAGAAATAACTTTGGCGCTAGGTTGTTGACGCCGCATATTCTTGTCTGTAAATCTAATCCACATTCCGGTTCATGTACATATGATTTATTTCAAGAACGTATGAGACAAATTTATAGGGATTTTTAGATGTTGAAAAGCGGGACTTATTACTTTTAGTATTAGTAAGTGTACTGTAGACAAAAGTTTTCAGTTTTTGATTTTCGATACAAAATTTAATTGATATTTTTTGTTTTTTTGATAATTTTCGCCTTAAATGAAAAAAATTTTTTTAATCCTTCCAGGATGCCAGATAAAATTAAGGAAATCTAGTCTCGGAAAATTAGGAAAAAAGTAAAACAAAAGCAAGATTTTCTAAATAATAATTAAATTGTCCATTCTTTCCAAAAATTAATTTCTAGTATAGGTTAACCATGTAAATTAGTAATAAATTAATAATATTTTGCGCCTTAAATGAAAAAATTAATTTTAGATCCTTCCAGGGTGCCAGATAAACTTAAGGAAGGAAACTATCTAATCAAAACTATTTAATCAATTAATCAACTTTTTAATCAAAAATTTAATTAAAAAATTTTTCTCTCAAGTCTTAGACAAGGCAAGATGTTGGCATTGCTGAATTTGTGTAATTTAAAAAATCTTTTATTTACACTTTTAAATGTATCAGCCATGCTACATTGGGCCATGCCTCGGCAAAATATTTTTAATTTAAAAAATAATTTAAAAATTAACAATCAATTTTTAATTTAATAAATTAATTTTTAATTCTTTACATTATTTATTTATTTTCTTCCTTTTTATTTTCATTAATTAATGGTTGATCTACTACACGCATATAACCCTTTCCGGAAGGAAGTTGTAATGTATTAATTGAAGAATATAATTTATTTGCCTCTTCACTGCCAACTTTTGGTTCAATCATACATGGAGAACCGTTCTAAATTTGTAATTTTTAAAAATAAATTTAAAAAAATATTTCACACGAAAATATTTAGAACATAACTTTTGAGGGGAAGGATAAACAGAATTTATTTTGATATGGAGGGGGGGGGGGCTAAAAAAGCTAGCTTTTAAATTCAAAAATCTAAATTATTTAATCACTCAAATCATTTAAAATTATTTTTGAATAAAAATATTACATTCCATCCTTCAGGTGTAGCCAACATATATTCATCTGAAAGCCGCATAGAGTCTAATACACGAAGTAATTCACTTTTAAAAATAATTAAATTTATAGTTTTTAAAAGAAAAGTTAATTAAGGGAGACTCAAGACAGAAAATAAATGAGAATTTTTGATTAAGTAGTAACTAAATGCAAATAAAAACAGATTTATTGAAAAATAAGAATTAATATCAAATTTTGGCTTAAAATAAACATAATTTTAAATTATTTAAAAATTCTCGAGATCGCCCCAGACATTCCGAAAATAATTGAAAAATTTAATAAAAACATTTAACAAAAAGTTTTATTTAAATATTTACTCGAAATTTCGTCCAGTACTTGCTGGATACAAAATTGAGAGGCGAAGACGTTTTTGTGGATCAATGAAGAAAACGGCTCTAACAGTTAAAGGTATTCCAGAAATAGAATCCAAATTGAGTGGATCAAGCATTCCTAATTTTGTAGCCAAATGACGATTTTCATCAGCAATTATTGGAAAAGGAAAGTTGTCTACTGGAAAAGAAAAAAAATTGTTAAATTATTTTAAATTATTTGGTTTGTTCACTTGAAAACCGCCCCAAAACCTTTAACATTATGTTGGGAAGTTTCACTCTTTTGCGAAACTCCGAGTTTTTGGGAAACTCAAATTTGAAGATTTATTCACAGAAAAACAATGAATGGAAGAAAGATTAATTAAAGAATAAAATTTATGAAAAAAAAGTAATGAAGATGTTAAGAAAACAAATTATATTACCGAAAATTAAAGTTTTAATTAAAGTTTTACTATAAAAAGCAAATTCAAGCATTCTACAATCAACACCGCCAATCGCCATTAAGTTTTCTCAACTAGCCCGTCTACTGCTACAACGTTTCCTGCTTGACCGATGCTCTCTTTGTCGCCAGAAGGAGATCTGTTCCTGCTCTTCTTGACTGTTTTAGTTGCTGGCCTGCTACTCCCGATTAGCTGTTGCAAGAAGAAGAAAAGAATGGCTGATAAACGGTATGTTTAAGCCTTAGTCTTTTTCTTTAATTATTTATAACGTTTAACTTATAGGGCAAGTGACGAATCGACTCCTAGCCCTACGATTGCACAGACGACAATGAAAACAAAATCTCCAAAATCATCATCTCTAAAAGTGAAAGGCAAGAAGTCTAAAGGCAGCAAGAAAGAGCGCAGAAGCAAGAAAGGCGATGATGCAGAGGATGATGACGACGACGAACCAATAATTCAAGCTGCTTTCGGCGTTGTAAGTTTGAGAAATGATTAGATTATATAATCCTTCAATTAAATTTATAGGAAGTTCCCCCGACAATGGAGGTGGATAGCGGTATTGAAAGGAATTCCAAAGGCATTGAAAGGAAGTCTAAAGCTTCCGCACCAGTGAAAAGTGCTATTCAAGCTCCAAAGAGTGTTAAACCACCCCAAGGACAACAAGGCGCTGTTAAAACTGCTTACAAACACGTCGCTAAAACATCCGATAGGCCGTCGATGGAGTCTCCGAAGGCAGAAAATAAAACACCAACAAAAAGTAAAATGAAAAGTGCACCGGAGCGATCAGTAAAGAAGACGCCAAAGAAGTCAATGATCGACAAGCCGAAGGAAGCCATCGACAAGAAAACGCCTAAAGTTTCGTCG